TTTTTTTACATATATTATACGCGTGTCACATAAATAACAGTTCACAACAGACACAATTTCGCGTCTTGTCTTACAAGTGGTACAACTAAACTAGTAAAAAGATCATAATTCCAAGGAAAAGAAAGCTCGGATTCATCTTCACTATTCGCGCGTTCACTTAAAAATTTGTCGTCGAAAAATAAATAACATTTCTCGTAGCTTAATGCAAACGTATATTTTTTCCCTTTGTTTTAGAGTTAGATGTATTTAAGTTAAGCTGCTCTTTCTAGTACCTATTCAATCTCAGTTCTCGTCTCTGACTCGTTAAGTCAATATATGGGTAATGAGCCAAGGTGAAAGAAAGAAAAAAAGGGTCTAAACGGCTATCATCATCATGAAAAAGCTGACGGTCGCGTAGCTGACGGATGGTCAGAGTGTCGAATGATCAGAGAGCGTGATAACCTCTACCCACGTGTTCTTAACTCTCGCGCGATTAATTACGTATTTGACAGTTAAAGCGATAACTATTCCCGAATACCTTAATACTGTAATGAGCAACTGGATTTGAAGGTACCGTAAAGAGGTTGACGTTTCGGTGATCGACAGAGGTCAGTGAAGATCATCTTCATCGCTATCGTTACCGTCTTTCGATCTGGCGGCATCTCCCTCGCCGTCGCTGGAGCCCGAGTCACTCGCCGAATCTTCGGACTGCCAGCCCGCCTGCTGTTGCTGCTGCGGCGTCTGTTGTTGCACGGCAGCGTGCTTCGAAACCTTGTGACGTTTACCTACGCGCGGCACCGCTTCCGCGCCGGCGTCCAACATAGGCTGGAGGATACGTCGACGGGCGTTGATAAACCAATTGTTCACTTGTAACAGCGTTAAGTTCGTCTGACTGGCGATTTGACGTTTCTCGTCTTCGGTCGGGTAAGGATGCTGAAAAGAGAGTGGAAAGGCAAAAAAAAAAGAAACATACATGAATCACATGGTCGAGAGGGCATACCGCGATGGGAAACGATCGATCTCGATTACTCACTACTAAATGCTGGAAGAGCCACGATCGCATAATTCCGGTGGCTTGTTTAGGCAAAACACCCCGCTTTTGGCGTCCCTTCCTGGCGCTACCGTGGTTACTTCTATGATTTCCAGAGTGATTCGAAGCTGCGTTGCCGGTGGTAGCACAACCTTCGTCCTCGTCTTCGCTCGCCGCGGGAGAAGGCGAGCCTGTAACAGTAATATCTAAACACGATCGACGTGTTCGATACAGTCGTGGTGAGTAAAGATGTATACATGCGATGTAACGGAGATTGTGTCGGAGAATAGCAAGCATTCAGATTTTTTCGGCTTTGACGGCGGAACAACGTGGCGCGCGCGCGCATGGTTATACGAATATCACGAACGAGAGAGATAGAAAGAGAGAGAGAGAGAGAGGGATGTTTCTAACCGAAATACTTTTCATCGTTAACGTTTCCACAGCCTGCGTGTTCTTTTTCACGTTCTCGCAACGCAACAAGTCCCCAATATCCAGCTTCTTCCAGATATATTCTGTCAGAGATAGTCTGCGCATAATCGACGTCATCTATAAACGGAATTATTCAGAGAAGTCGCTGCGGCCGTCAAAAGTTTCCGCGAGTTTTGCGCATTCCAATATGAGAGAAAGAAAGGGCGAGTGACAAAGAGGAAACAATCGCGCCGCGATCCTGACGAGGCGATATCCAATCTTTGGCCGACAATGCGGAAAGGACTGCACTTACCTTGACCGAGATACATATCGTTAACCGGAGCGCACGGATGCGCTCCGATCTGCGAGAGAGGCGTGCTGCCGTGTACCGCGGACGGTGAGAGCGGATCGTCGTGGTCTTGGCTACTGGGTTTGGCCGAACGTTGGACGGCGGAAGACGATCGGACCGACGACGGTTGGTCGTTACTGACGCTCTCTTCACGCGCGATCTGACTCGCGCCGTCGTTCTCCGCCAGGGAGTCCCCTCGGCTCACTCTGAATCCGTTAGCTCCCGACTCAACATCATTGCCTGTAGATGACAGCACCTGGCAAATATATGTCTCAACTAGCCGTCAGAGAGCAGGGATGGGATTCCGTAATATCTGAAGAGATGCACGGTTCGACGGGATGTTTCGAACCGTTACGATCGCGCGCATCTCTTCGACTATGAGGATATCTACGCTGGTAAAGGGGGATAGACAGGCCTGGGAGAGCCTCGCTTGTATCGGCTGATCGGACAAACGTCTAACCTGCAACGGACTGCTGCCATTGCTCCCGCTCGACGGACCCATGTCGTGTCCATGGTGGCTGTAGTCGCTGCGCAGCAAGTTCTCGCTCTGCATCTTGCCCTTCAAACACGTGATGTACCTGTTGCAGAAGTCCTTGCACAACTCCTGTACCTTCTCCAACTCCAGCAGATGGATGCGAAGCACCTGTATCGCCTTGATCATCTGCAATGTCCGCGAGAAAAGTGAGGGTGACGCAGTCTTGTTAGCCGATCGTCTTTTCTCGCGCTCTCTCTCTCTCTCTCTCTCTCTCGTTCGTTTGTTCCCGTTCGTCACATCGATTTCACGTGTCGATAAGAAGGATATAAGAGAGAGAACAGAGCCTACTTTAAACCTTCTGTGATTCACGACGGGCTGAAATAGCTTCTCATTTATAATTTTACGCAAGATACCTGTGTAATAATTTGTAAATATTTATACACAAGGTGTCCCGGAAGTTTTTGACGAAGCAGCTGTATGTAGGTGGAACAACGGATTAAATTTCAGTAGAAAAGTCCTCTAACATTTTGTAAAATTTTATTAATTAGTTATTAATTATTGAAAATGGTCATGTATAGAAGTTTCTTTAATTAATAATTCAAAAACTTGCATATTATTTGCAAAATGACTCATAATGACATAGAACTTTTTTTGTTTAGAGTGACATAATCTACAAGTATACGACAGCTGTTGCATCTAGCGACAAGGTTCGAGGTTCAAGGTTTGATATATCGATGATGAATACAACGTTGTCATATACTTGTAGAAGCTATTCTGATGAAAAAAAAAACCTTTACAACACGTAAATTTTTTAATTTATTAATTAAAGAAGCATCTACATATGGCTATTTTTACTGCGTACAAACGAGCGATATGTGCCAAAAATTACCGGACACTCTGTATATGTGATTCTAACCGGTCAAATATTTTTTTCACACACACGATAGAATTCTGCGACAGGATGCAGATAATCTCAAGCAGGCGCTATACCGGGGAAGGGGGGAAAAAGAAAGAACTCTGTCTTACCAAACCGTCAATCTCGGGGTCATTGATCAGGAAGGGTTTTCGGTCTCTTTCTTGGTGTTGGACGAAGGCCTGTATATCCATGTTGAAGCTTTCGGATGTGGAGTTGTCCGAGCTCTGGGTCGCCTGCTCGCATCTTTCAAAGAGTAACGCCAACAACGGAAAGAGCGGATGTTTGTATACGGCCCTCTTGTCAGCCTCGAACTGAGCCTGATCCTGATGAGTCGTATAGTCCGCGACCCCGCTGGCAGGGTCCTGATCGTATCCAGGAGTCACCATCGCTAGCGCAACGGCGGTGTTACCTTCTTGCATCCTGCGGCAACATTTGTTTTCCTTTTTGTGTCCATACGTCATCAGTCACTTGCATTCTAACATCTAGACGATATTTCAGGACAAATACTTGATTCAGCTTCTTGAGTTGGCGCCGTGTCCTTCGGCTCACGAAACGTCGGAAACAAATCCGTGTAGGACGCGGCGCTAACCCGAAAGGGAGCCCTAAATTAAAAGTATCTAAACGACACTGCAATTATTGTGTCTTCAGAGCGAGGTCTCACTCACCTATCATTCCTCCTTGGCAATCTCCATTCTCGTTCGGATAATCCGCGCTTCGAAGAGCCGGTGGTGTTGCTTTTACTCAAACGCTCGCCGGCTCAAAATCCGCTTTAATCCGTTGGTGCGCACTGGGGAAAAGGTAAAAATCATTGTCGCAGATCAAACGAATCGCGGATTGTTCGACACGATGATATTCGTCGATTTATTCGAGAGAGAGAGAGCCGCTCTAATTTCCGTTCACGAGCGATGCGCTCCGTGAAATTCGAGAGAAGCGGGAGAAACGAAGAGCGAAGGAAAAGAAAATATGAGGAAACCGAAAGAGAGAAGCTGCTGTCGCGTCGCGCCAACAATCGAACGATGCGGCACCGCATTTAAATGTCATCATTAGACGGTATCGGCGCTATCGGCGCTAGGGCTTCCATCGATTTCGAGCGTATCTCCCTTTCGACATGAATAATAAATAAAGGCTCTCTCGAAAGTCCAGAGAAATAACCCGCGAAGGATGCCGCATGGGTTTCGTCCGCGCGCGTTTCGCCAGCGCGCTTCCCGGGAGAGCGTGCGAGACGATATTCGAGCATCCTCGCGAGATTGAACGCCTGCGGAACGGAGAAGCGCAACAACGTTTGAAGATTTGCGAAATTAGCGAGAGCAAGCATTCATCTCGAACGAGGGAATCATATTCGTCGCAAGTAGCCGTCGGACGTCTCGTCGCGTTCTTAATTAGACTTTAATTAGATTCTTTCTTGCATAGTAAATTCAATCACCTTGCGTTAAACCGGATCGGTGCACATTAAAGCCCGCTGCACACAAAGTATCCAAATACAATGCATACATAAAAAAGTACTTTGCCGATGAGAAATAATGAATATACATCCCGCTAAATAATGCGACAATATCATTATCAGGTGTTTAATCGTTTCAACCGTGTTTTTTCATTTAAATAACCGCTTCGTGTTACTGCAGCCTTCGGCGTGCACCAATCCGGTGCAGTGCGGGTGATCGGATTTGCCGTTAGAATTCTCAAACATTGAAATTCGATCGTATCGCCGAGACGACGTTCGAGCGGGAAGGCCGCGAGAACGAGAATACGAAGTGACATTCGTTGCATGCGCATTATCTATAGGAGCAATTATAAGTATCATAACGTGCGAGCGAGAGAGAGATAGAGAGAGATCGAAGGCCGCCGGAGCAAAGAGCAGGAAAGGCGAAGTACGAATGACGTTCGTGCTATTAGCTCGAAATAATTATTATTAATTGCGCGACACACGTGTTTATCGCGCTGATAAACGCGGTGAAAGAAAAGAAAAAATACGGCATGCACACCGGCGGCACTGTTTACTAGCCGTCGATCATCCAAGTGTTAACCTGCGCTCTCTCTCGCCGCCGCGCACAAAAACTGCGCTCCAAAACACGCCCTACGCTGTTGTGCGCTCGTCCGTCGCGAGTCCCGTCCATGTCGACCGCGCCTCCTCCTCTCTTTCGCTTCTTTCTGTCATTCCATAACATTCGATAACGGATCGAATGATCGCTACTCCACACATATACACACACACGCTCACGTGTACACGAGTATGTGTGCATGAAGAAAAAGATTGTCGCGAGAGGAACTCAACGACGTACGCGGAGGACGCGCGGTGCCCCCGACGATAATTGTCGCGGAAATAGTCGGGGAGACAAGAGACCGATGAGGCAACACGCGCTCGTAAATAAACTCTGAAATGTTATCAGCTGATCGCGCAAAACGGGATATCTCTCTCGTGTCGTACATTGGCGCGAACCGCCCGTCCCTCGTATCGTTACGTGACACCTGTTCTCACGCCTTCGAAATTGGCCATGCGAGGCGATCGGACTATTTTAAACGCTCGATCCAGCGTCCGACGTCGAGCTCGACTTTTTCGCGTAAAAATGTCGGACGACGCACGATGCGGAAAAAGAGAGGGAGAGAGACTCTCTCGCGATAGCCGAATTCGGCGTGCGTTCGCCGAGATTTCGAAACTCGATCCGCCGCGACCGAGCGCAAACAACGAAGGGCACTTACGGCCGCGACTACGCGAACCCGGGGAACGCGCGACTCGAACGGCATCGCGGCGTTCTCTCGCGCGGATCCACGAGGACGCGTGCGATCCGATCGTCGTCCGAAGAAAAATGGGCGTTCACTCGTATATAGGCTCGCGCGCAGAGACTGGCGGCGAACCTAACCTCAATTGCGCGGACGGAACGCGGGGAGCGAGACGTCGGTGAGAAATATCGTTCGAGAGAGCACTCTCCGTTCGGCTTCGCGGCCCTCTCTCGAGCTCGACGTTGGCTCTCTTACCGGTTATCGTGATCCTGTGTGGCACCTTGGCGCGCGACACCTTGCTACGACGAGGCCGTTCCACTCGTTTTATTTTGTCAGGACTTTTCGGTGCGATCGAACCGTCATAGCCGAATGCGACCATCGGAAGCGGCGAGCCGTATTTCTCGCGCACGTGTCCAAGAACGCGCCGTCTCCACCGCGATAACACGTCGAATTTGCCGATACCGCCGGCGTACGCTCGTCAACCCGCTCGTCGCACCGCGATCCGCAACTCTGTTTACCACTCGTTCACGTAGCCGATAAATTTAAGTAATCGGACATTTTTCAACGCGCGACCGTCTGCCCCCGTCTACTCCTTCCACTGTCTCGTCTTTTGTGACGTCATCGATTCAATACTTTTCGCGAAGGTTTCTCGCCGCCGCGGTGGCGGCGGTGGTGGCGGCGGTGGCGCGCGTTCGCACGCTCCTCCGCCAGATGTAGCGCCGTGCTTCTTTCTCGCCCGGCCCCCTCTCGCTCGCCGTCTCGTCCGCCAGGTGGCGCCGGCCGTACCGGTTCGCGTCGCCGCCATAGTAAATATCGCTCGGCGATTCAAGCGGCCGCTTCGAAATCCTTCGCTGCGACACACATGTCTACGTAATGACGTTTCCTCCACGGCGGACTAGAGTCTACTTTTTATTCAGGAAATCCTTTTTACGACGTTCGTTGATTCAACGATCATTGCTCTCGATACACGTCTATCGATATGATTCATCGGGCTGTATAAACCATGTTCGGCGGTCTGGGAGTGCACACGCGCCCTCGAGTTCGTTGCTGAACCAGCTTGTTTCGACCGTACTGTCTCGGCAATACGCAATATTTCGCAAACCACATCGTACAATCGAATACTGGTGTTGGGGACGAAACTCTTGGAGTCATTGCTGAGGAGAAGAGAGGGTATATCGGGCTGTATATTTTGTCATGCACATACTCACGCACGCACACGTGCGCGCAAATGTGAAGATATTACCAAATATCAGTCTGTTGTTACGAGAGCTAAAATATCGCTTCACGATTTTAGATATTATCGGCGAGATGAGAACACCGGCACTTTGCTCACCTACCTCGAACGATGAGTAATTGCGATGAGCGAGGCTGTAATCTTATCGCTGTATTTTGTTATCATGTACGAGAAGTCGCGATGATACTGCCAGGCTAAATCGAGCTAACGCCGCGAGTAAGCTTACAGTTGATGTATCGCCGTGCCAGGATGATTCTCCGAGTATTATTCCCTTTGCTCACGATATTCCTTCTCGCGGGGTGTGATACGAATAGCAGCTTGCCACTTGATATCGTAGACACGCATCTACCTACGGATCGTACGATCGAGGAAACGGGCAGACCGAGTTTGTGCACTGTGTGCAATTGTACAGGTAGCCAGAGTAAAATTATCATCACCTCGATCGAGGAGACTCGATGTCTTTCGCAAAGCGACGCTTAACAAATTCATGTTCGCTAAGGTGCTAAATAATACGCGGGAAGCCTTCTCGGAAAGATATAACGTAACGACTGTTGAAAATGGTGTTAACAAAAACTCCCTAAACATCTTTAGATCGCTACGTAAACTGTAGCAACCGTGCCCTGGAAAATCACTTCAACAATAGCCAATGGTCGGACATCAAGGCGGCAAAGGAGATTTCGTTCGAGGGTAATCTCTTGGTACATGTCACGCCTTTCCCGAAGATAATCGTCGAACGATTAATCCTGCGAAAAAATCGCATCGCCGTGATCGACTATAGCGCCTTCAAAGAGCTCGTTAATCTCACTGAGTTAGACCTGAGTTACAATCAGCTCACGTCGCAACGACTGCAGCCGCATGTTTTCGAGGTAACGAAATACCGATGTAAGTTGGCCCGTGCAATTGCAATATCGTCCACACAAAGAGGCGCAAGCGCCTGTGTTCTCATCGATCGTGAATCATCGATCAACAAGAAATTCCAGCATTTCGTAATTCCGGTTATTTAATCAATGACTGATAATCTCGAGTTTCGTTAATCAAATATATAATTGTCCGTGACAGTAGAATTCTTAGGCCGCGGTCCGATTCACGCTTATAGCTTTGTAAGCGTCATTCTATCTTTGTTGTTCATTAAGTGCCAAAGATAGAACGACGCTTACAACTGTAATGCATGAATTGGATGGCAGTTTTAGTTTCTTCGTCTGATTTTATCTTAACTATGAAAGATGATACTATCTTAACTTAGGAAAGATGAAGCAACGAAATCGCTTTTCGAGGAAGAACAACTCTCTCGGCTTCGTAGAATGGATTCGAACAAGTATGCAATACGCTACACGTACGGTTATGCGGTACGCCACTGTGAAATCGATAGATATAGAACTCGTACGTTCTAGATGATAATAGAACAAACCAACAGATGTTGATGCTTAATATTTTCTTCAGATAAACTTATCAGCTTATTTATTTAAATCGTTAAAGATTTTTTATCTTACAGCAAATAATATAAAACGAAGAGATATCAAGAAACAATATCATCTTTCTCTCTTTCATTCACGTTAATCTATTTTATTTATCTGTCGGTTGCTATTTTACGCGAGGGAAATTAATATATTTCCGAACGTTTCAGGGCAAGTTCTCGCCAGAAGCGTACGAGCCTCTGTCGAACCTGAAAACCTTGAATCTGGCTGGTAATTCACTCCATTGGCTGCATCAGAGTCTATTCGAGCACCTTGCCAGCTTGAAGGTGTTGAATCTCTCTGAGAATCCTTTCATTATGTTCGATTATCGTACGTCCATAGCGATCAGTAGCTTATCGTACTTAGAGGAATTGGACATCAGCTATTGCAGTTTAAAGGAATTGCCAAAGATTCAGTTTCATACCGCCAAGTAAGAAGCCACGGACAAATAAAATATTACAATTTCGTTCGGTTCTCTGAACCCGAGTTACGGTAAAGCGCGTGCAAAACTGCGTTCCTGTTGACCGCGCGTATTTCCCCGTCGATTTAGATACTTGAAGAAGTTGAACTTGGCCGGCAATTCACTTGTTTACGTGCCCACGTCTTTGGAAGGAGCCGAGGCACTGGAATGTCTTCGTCTGGATGACAATCCGATAAAGGTGATCGATCACACGAACGCTTTCCCGAATTTGACGAACTTGAGGGAAGTCAGTTTGTGCTACATGCAGAATCTAACGGCGATCGAGAACGGCGGGTTGTCGAAGCTGGTCAATCTGGAAAATCTCTACGTGCAAAATTGTCCGAAATTACAGCAGATCGATGATTACGCATTGGGATATCAGGTACAACAGACTCGGCGATACATATGCGTATATAATCGATACACAATTACACAGCGAGAGAATCACGGTATAAAAATCACGGTGAATTCGCAGAATCTCGAGGGCGGCGCAACGTGGCCGCCGTTAAAGAAACTGATCATATCAGATAACGCTCTTCGATATTTGCCGGCCATGCTCGTAGGCAGATGGGACAAACTCGAAGAATTGGATCTGATGAACAACGAATGGAGCTGCGATTGCAATAATCAATTTCTGGTAAGTTGCGGCAATCACGGGGACGCGCGCGATCGGAAGCGCGCGCACACAATCGGCGAAGAGAGATTTTTATCGAAGCTATAACGCAGCTCGCGAGCAAGCTACACGTTCGACGAGTTTCGTACGCTCACTGCGAGCAAGTAACAAGCGCGCGTCCTCCCTGTAGGTCGGCATTTTGCTGCCGCAATACGGCAAGCGACTGATGGGAGACGAGGTCGGTCAGCTCACCTGTTCCGCACCGCCGGAACACGAGGGGAGGAACCTCACGTCCTTGACCAACTGGCATCTACGCTGCTTGGATTTGTACAACGCACGACCGGAGAGAGACGCCGCGATACTCGTGGGTATGATGATCGGCCTCCTCATAGCGATCCCGGTTGCCATGGCGTTCTTCGTGTTGTGGCGGCGCGGCTTCTTCTTTTGTGGCTCGCAGAGTCCCGCCAGCTTCTCCCGTGCCTTTTACAAGCGTGCGTCCAACGACGACGACATTTAATCGTTATTAACGGTAGTGTGTTAGTCATCACAAATACTTGATATCACACTTGATCACCATCACATCGCCGAGGAACGAACGAGTTTGTATTTATCGTCGAGTCGCAACGGAAAGCCACCCTAGCATGCTGCATCTGTTTAATCTAAACGCTTCGAGTATGTATATTTTTGTTTATTCGTTACGTTTTACTAATCCGTTGCGATTCGGGCTGTCGTCTCTTTCCAGCCGGTCCGCACGAATTCGCTCACCGAACAACACTTTCTCAATTGTATGCTCATTTTAACATCGCAGCGTTCAAGCAACGAAACAACGCGCGTACATTTGTACCGCGTTTCATTGAAGTACATTGTATTCAGTACAATGTACATTCAGTACATTGAAATACTTAAATTTAGCGTCAGTGTACAAAGGACGATTTTGCGACAGGATCGGCTGGCTGGAAGAACGAGACGCCGACGTCGCAGAGGATTAAGATATCACAACTCACCACCGAGGGGGCGATTTTTTGTCTTAATGAGCATTAACCGAATGTAGATGGATGGTACATCGCGTGCCACGTAGTATACACGACGTATTACGGCTCCAATAATAAAGAACTCGAAAATTAACGTGCGTCGCTTGCCCTCTCTCGCCTAACGAGTCCCCGGAGGATTCATCGCCGATGCCATCGTAGAACGTTTTTGAGCGCGTCGAAACCCCGGACGATGGATTTTCGGCTTTATAAGCGAGCCGGAGGGCGGCTCTGGTAAATGCGTCGAGGGAGCGAGGCGAGACGAGGCGAGGCGAGGTGACGCCGAGCGACGCGACGCAGGCGGACGGACGGATGGACACGCGCCGGTAACGCAATTACCGCGACGTTAATTTACTCAATAATCGCAGAAGCAACCCCGTCTAAATGTCGGCACGCGTCCCTCGACCCTAATCATAGCCGGCCGTCGTAGTTTCATACAGACAGATCTCTGACGTCGTCGGTGATTCGAAAAGCCATTGAGATTAACCGAAATACTCTATCGTTCGACCGGAGATCATCCCCCCCCCTCTCTCTCTCTCTATCTTTCTCTCTCTCTGTCTGTCTGTCTATCTATCTCTCTCGCTTCCTTTTTATTTTCTTTCTTATTTTTATCAATTGTATTGCACTTCGTTATCTGTGAGAGATAATGAAAGATAATGAAAGTGTGACATATCTGCGTGAGACGCAATTATTTGATAGAATACGTTTATAGCGAGTGTACGCGCGCTCCTCGATTAAATCCACGTCGGGCCGGTTGCTCTGTCTATCACCTATGGACCGGGAGAGAGGGGGGAGGGGGAGGTATGGATGGTTAGGTGCGTTACACGCGTGTACCGCCATTTGGAAAGCGCGCGCGCCGTGTACATGATCCGATAAGTAATTTAATCTCGCGTTTCTGCTCGTCCTCCCTTCGAAGATTCAATACCGACGCGGCTCGACGCGGCATATCGACCATAGGAGCGGAAAACCCGACTCGACGCTCGACGACGACGACGACGATGCACACTCCAAAGAGATACGATCGAACGGACATGAAGCGATTCGCGCAAAACATCGCGCACGCGAACAAGAACATCGGCTTTTCCCGACCGGGTTGTTCCCCCCATCGTCGTTACCGTCCAGGATAAGAGGAGTTGCCGCAATGAAGGACGTTATCCGCGCGAAGGACGCACGAATCGCTCTTGAATGGAATGTTATACTTCTCGCGACCGCGTCGCGAACCCGTCGCGCTCGGTGGTATAACGCGGATGGCTATATCAGCGGGAGTAAGGGTTTTCAGGACGTACTCTCTTATACACACACACGCGCGCGTACACATGCACGCTCATATATCCGTACCATTATTATCCTACGTGCGAGAGCGCGGCGGCAGAATGGAGAGAGAATCGCAGATATACAGAAAGATCCGTCCCTCCTCCGCCGTCGCCACCGCCTCCGCCTCCACCGTCGCCGTCGCCTCCGCTTCCCGTCCTCTCAGTTACGGTACGTAGCGGAGGATACATGAATACCCGAGCGCGCGTGTCCATGGAAACGAATGACGAGGACCCGCCCAGGGACGAACGCGGAACCAACCCAGGCGACGGCGAGCGTCGCGACGCCGGCCAATGCGGACGCCAGGCCGGCCTTGGATAGTCGTCGGTAGTGCGCTACCCTTCTTCGACATGGTACCAGCTACTACAGCGGGCAGGGAGGGGCTGCCGATGATCGCGCGCACGGGGGGTTGAATCGCCCTGAATCGCGCGCACCGATACTCCCTAAAACGTCGGTGAACGACGGCGAACGACGGTGAACGACGACGACGACGACGACGCCGCCGCCGCCGCCGCCGCCGCCGACGCCGCCGCGTCCTCGCGACTTACGTCCATCAAACGTCGCGCGATCCGCGGCGATCAATTCGATTTCATCGGGACGCTCGTGAGGATAAACGTTGCTCGACAACCTTAGCCTCCCTTGGCCTGAGGGAGGCTATTTTTCAATTTATTCACTTTACGTTAACGCGTAACGAGAACAAAGTGACCCGAGAGTGACGCGACCTTCTTTTCGCGAGTCGAGCGCGAGTTTCATCGCCCCGGACGCGGTATTCCGCGATACCCACGGTCGGCCGCGTACGTGCCCATAAATGTGAACAGAGGAAAAGAGAGAAGACTCTTGCGCGCGCGCGGAGAGGAAGAGAGAGAAAGAGAATATCACCGTTTCGCGCTCTTCTCCTCGCGAGGAAGAAGCTACTCTCCGTGGTGATGCAAGGTCCTTCTCGCGCATTCTCGAGCTTCCGAGGAGGACGACTCTGAAGAGCCCCGTGAGGAAGCGTGAGATCGTTCGATCCGTGACGACTCCGCCAAGGATGTAACACCACGTCGGACTTCCGTGTCTCGGACGTCTCGCGTAAACGTGTCTCGCAGCGTCGCGCGTCGAGCGAGAAAAAGATGCAGTCCACCTGCCAACAGCAACAAGCTCAGCCAGGTCAGAACGGTACCTCCGCCAGCAGGACGTCGTTCCTCATCGAAGATATCCTTAGTCGCGGCACCGTCACGCCGCATTCGCACCACCATCAGTTGCATCATCAGCACTTGACGTCGACCACCCCCGGGCACGGACAGCATCATCAGTACCAGCAGTTCGCCAGTCTGCTACCCGGCTATCCTACGGCGCCGCCCGCCGCTGCGGCCTTCTTCTTGGGACCGCTTTTTGGCAGCACTGGCATGGGGGTCGGTGTGGTGCCGGGGGTCGGCGAGCTGGCAGCCTTGAAACATTGCCGACGACGAAAAGCTCGTACCGTAAGCGCATATTCTTTCATATTCGCGAAAACCCCGCCTTCGACGCGGCCTGTCGTCTTCCGAAAGCTTATTGCGCGTGGTTCCTTCGAATTTGTAACATTTCATTGATCGTATCGTGACCTTGATTTGATCACACTGACTCTTAATTTGATCGTATAGTCGTTTACCGAAACAAAGTGTCCTGTACAGTCGGCGTCATATGTGATGTATCATTCCCTAGACGGAAAATTGCGTTACTCGCAGTGTTATATGTAACCTGTACGGTTGAAAATCGCACAAGCATAGTGCATAACTCTAATTATAATGATAGGGCGTTTTAATGGCTCTAATGTTAACGGTTTTGACCTTACCTGTACGCCGAGAAGAATCCTAAAATTATAGTCCGATCTTACACCTCATCCGAAAAAGATGAACTGAAAGGTTCACGAAACGTCGGAAACAAATTCATGAAAAATGCGGCGCTAACTCGGAAGCCAAATCCAAGTATCTATCCGCGAAATCTAAAGAATCTAACCCAAAAATTGGCAGTAACAATATGTATATAAGGTTATTATCACTGATACTATATAATAATACTTACTACACTGAGAAAAAAGCGGTTGGATCGACAAAATCGGCGGTCACTTTCATTTAAAAGAATTTTGTGTACGCTGAACAAATTACGTGTTGGCGCAACAATGTATCACGTTGATATAGTTGCTGATCAAAACGCGATCGTTGAATCAACTGGTAACTCATTACAGCAACTATATAATTCGTTCAGTGGAACGTTGTGCTTGAAAAAATTCGTTTAAGCAAAATTTCGTAGATTCTATTACTGTTTTTTGTCAGTGTTGAAAAATGCTTTTCCGACTCTAATTTCTTCACTTGCGCGATTATAATTACAAATACCGACATTTTTTCCCCACTGTATATACGTAAGGCTGAAAATTGTGTAATTTTTAATCCAGAGAATAGTACAGCACATATGACGCCGACTGCACACCGAATCTAAGATCGAATCACGCAAGTTGAAATCACCGACTTATATGATCGATTTATGTGACCAACACTATGTATAAACTCTTTTTACGAGTCGACACAGAGTGGACGACAGTACAAACAGTGACGATCTAAATACTACGATAACGGTACATAATTCAAGGCTAATGAAAGAATAATAACGTATCTAAGAGTAAGTTGGAGATATTCGCTACATGAGCCAAAAGCGTTGTGACTATGTCGTTTACCACCGTCAGACCGACTTTTTAATCCGAAATTAATTAATCCAAATGAATGGAATTAATTATTCTTGATTAATGAATAGTCTCTGCGTTAATTCTCCATCCGTACTGTTGCAAGTAATGCGGCTCACGCAAGTCCGTGTTCACAACGAAGCATTTGGTTTGGCCAGTTGAGACGAGAGACGAAAGTTTTGCTTTCCGGAACTTTCAGGTGTTCAGCGACCAGCAACTGGCGGGATTGGAGGCTAGGTTCGAGGTGCAGAGATACCTGAGCACACCCGAGAGAGTAGAGCTTGCGGCCGCGTTACATCTGTCGGAGACGCAAGTGAAAACGTGGTTCCAGAATCGGCGAATGAAGCACAAGAAGCAGCTGAGGAAACTGAACACGAGCACCGGCGGTAACGCCAATTCGGGGCAGCAATCGATCTCCGTTACATCGCCGGCTGGTAAGTAGCGCCTGTTATTTTTCTCTTTTCATCTTCCTCGGTTAAACAGCTCACGCGCGTCGCAATTCAATAAAAATATTCCATCGACGTGTCCGGACGGAGGACACGAAAATGTAAATCGCCAGTATTCGGCGATTAGCACGGCAGCGTTAAATAGCGTCGGTTTTTTTTTATTCGTATAGCGCCGCGAGAGCAGAATTTCCCGGCGCGAAATGGATTTGGAACGGTTCTAACGAGGGTTACAGCGTTATTAAATGTTCCGATAATGCTTAAAATTTACCGGCGCACCGTGTCGGATAATATGCACGCGCGACATCGCGATCACGGTATCTACGGAATTTTGCATCGACTGGTCCCCGCAACGTGCAATTACCGCTAAATACGCGTATCGACTTTTCGATAAACAGCTGCGAGCAGTATTCCCGCACCGCGAGTTCATTAACTTGGATTAATGACACTGTGTCCTAGATAAGCGATAATTTATGAATGGCTGCGCTGCTACGATGAGAAAAAAAGATAGAGAGGGACCGGGGGAGGGGGAGAGAGCGAGAGAGAGAGAGAGAGAAAGGAACGTGTACGTCACTTTTTTACGTCGAGCTTGGTGCACGCAAAATGTGTCGATCTCGAAAATAACGCGACCAATCGAACGTTTATCAGTGATGACGACAGCAACTGTATATATATATATATATATATATACATATATACATATACATATATATATGTATATATGTATGTATATATATAGATATATATATCCACACGCTACATACACACACACACACATATATATGCACGCGATGAAACATCGATATGTTAAATATACATTAATACGAAATAAAGTGTGCGCGCACCGAGTCTCCACAGGACGGTCACGGTACAGTCGGGGATTAATCGGCCATAGTTATCGGTTAATCTGCCCAGAACACGGCAGCGGAGAGGCGTGCGCGCGCGCGCGGGACGGCGCGTTATAACGTCGGTTGTCGTTAAATACTTCCCCGTTGTCACGCTAATGGACGATATCTGTATAATGCAACCAAAATACCGCTGACAATAAATTACGCAAGTTCGGCTTAACTAGCCAGACCGTAAACGTGGTTGCGTTGCGAGGAACTATAATCATTAACAGTACCTGCCTGCGTAATGGTCGCATTCCGTCGTAGATATTACCACAATCGCTCGCCAGGTAACATATATCGTGTTATATGCTGCACTACAAACTCGCGGGATCGGCCGCACCATCGCGGCGGAAAGAGATCGTCCCGGTAATAGCGATCGTTTTCGACGGAATTCCTCTTTACTTTGCGCACCGATGCGAATGTCCGGAGCTGCTTTCGGCATTTTCAATTCTCGCAATCTAGATGTTCGCATAACTTTCGAAAAAGTAAAAAAAAAAGTGATTACGCTCGTCGATCGGCACGATTGTGACATCAGACGAATAGCGCGATGGAATTCGCTTGGAAAACCTCCGATCATTTCAGTCAGAATCGATAATTGCGAATCCTAAATTGAAATCGACGACGTTTGTTTTGTTGTGTTTAGTTAAAGCCTCTTCTTCGAGATGATATCTAATTCGAGGTGTACGTACCGCGTCGTTTCGCGCGAGACGACGCGACATTTCGAACGATTTAAATGGTTTGGTCCGGTATTGCATTCGTCTGCAACGCCAAGCCGCGTTCGTCTTGGTAGACAAGATGGCTTCGTTCGGTAGGAAGGGCTAACCGAGTTACATAGACGTCTCCTTGGCAGCAAGCGAGAAGGAGGTATCGACGGAGAGGGTGGGAAGGGTGGCACATAGAAGACGAGACCGCCTCGTCGACCGTCTTTAGACTCTCGAGCGAGTTATGTAAGGAACCCGGGAGATTCGTTCCCTCCTTCGGCGCCTCTCTTTCTCTCGCTGTCTCGTTCCGACTCCCGTCTTGGTGAAAATTACTCAATTACCCGCTAAGTGCTCGGTCAGACCTACATTCTCGATTGTTCGCTCGCCACTAAGGGCTATCGCGGGCCGTCGAGATTAATTTTTTGCCAGGCCCGAAAACAAGAATGACGGAATTTCAGGGACTTTGCGCGCGATTTCATCACTCGACTCGCCATCGAGGCTTGTCTCATTACTCGATGATGGTTCGTGTTGACAGAACGGCCCGTAGACTTCTCGCTGAGCGGCGGTCGCGAGTCTCGCGCGAGCAGCGACGCGCCCGCCGATTCCGACGACGAGGACGATGACGAGATCGACGTGCTGGGCGACGAGACGCCGTCGCCGACTCCGACACCAGCCGCGACGCCGACCCCGACGCCTGCACCGACGGTCTCGACACCACCGGCGCCGACGCCTACGTCGACGCGAAGTACCACCATGCCGCCTCTGTCCAGACGCGGCACGCCACCGAGAATCCTCCACACGACGATTCATCCGCATTCCCATCCACACCCACACTCGGTCGGCTTGCATCATCAGCCGCAACACGGCCAACATTCCGCCCAACAACGTCAACATCGCTGAGGCGACACGTCGTGATAAGGACGTACCGGCCGTCTCTCTTGCAAGAATCACGGTAATCGCGTAGAGAGGAAGAGGATGATCTTACGACGACGATGTCCGCGACGATCGGCTCGGATATTCATCGGAAGTCGTCGCGCGAATTCAGCAGGGGGAAATCGCTCCGGAGTTCGGGGATCGAGAAACGTCGTTTTGCGTCTCTTTTGCGCGAGAGGTATTTATTATGAATTATAACGAAGGAAAAAAGAGGGTGGGAGAAAGCGGAGAATTGAGAGGCGATTCGCGAGATGTTGTTCGAGAAGCTGTCGATCACGGAGAGTCGCGGCAAGATCTCCTCGTTCGCTATAAACGTAAATACGGAGCCTCCGCCGCTTCCCGGTTCTCACACAAATCTACTTTTTATAGAAAAATGCAGTAATAAATATGGTGTTTGGTCTCTTGTTACTTTTTAATAGCGAAATGTAAAGATAGGCCGTGGTTTCCGTTGAGAATTAAACCGTCATGCTCTAACGCGATGTGTGTGTATGTGTATACNATATATATATATATATATATATATATGCATATATATATATATATATATATATATATGTATATATATATACACTTGCTTTCCTCCTCGATCGCTTTTTCCCCATTTTCGCCGGTGTGTCTTGCGAGTGTCTTCTTGGAGGAGTTGCAGCGAAATCGCTGCTTCTCCATCGCGCTTCTACGACGAGCATGATTCAGGAGATCGGGGTAACGCACATCGACGCTGACATTTAATTGCGTCGTGGGTCACGAGTCACGGCGCGTTCTCTCGAGTCTTCCTTCATAATCGTTTCGCTAATCGTCGACGCGACATTTCGCCACCTACCTCCGCTCCGAGACATTTTCGAGAGCTAACGAACCGTCAAAAACGAGGAAGAAAACGGAGAGAGAGAGAGAGAGAGAGAGGAAGACTCGACGTAGATTTTTCTCAGGTGATTCCCATTACGGACGATCCGTGGCTCATATCGCAATTAAACCGTGACCAATGTAATAATTCTTCGCGCGAACGATTCCTTCGCTGACGGTCGTTAACGTTTTTACTACCTGTTGCGGGACGTTAGATCAGCGGCGAGCGTGCGCCTATCTTGAAAGAAACGATATTCTAGCAGGATAGTGGATTTTCCAACGAGCACGCGTTGTATAGGCGGCGCCTGTGGGGCACGTCGTGCTTCCAGTTGGGGTGAATCCTAATACCCAGATAATGGGAAGTAATTGCGAGGGATCAGAGCGAGTGAAGCTACTCTGTCGGCTGTCGGTTCGGGGCAGCGGGATGCGTACAGAGAGAGAGAGAGAGAGAGAGACGGAGAGTGAGATAGATAGAGAGAAAGAGAGAATGGCGGCGTGTGGCGCCACGCTTCCCTTCCTCTCTTCTCCTCTTCCCTTCTCTCCTCTCTTTTCCCTCCTCACTGTAGATTCGCAGAGGGGTGGAGAAAGAGGACGAAGAGAGGATCGTAATCGTGTTATCGGGACGAAATCATGAGGTACATTCTCGGATATACATCGGATATGCGCATCTAGAAAGGGAGAGAGGGAGACCGCTTCGTTTCTCAGAGGCGAGAGAGATGTAAGAAGAAGAAAAAAAAGGAAAAGGCTCATATAAACCGACCATTATGTTATATTGACGCAAATCGCGTCCGTTGCAAGAGTGGACTCGCGGACTGTGTACTTTTATCCGACGTAACGTTACCGGTAACGTTTACCGATGAATCACACACGCACGCACGACACGTGTCGATAGCGTTCGGAGCGCGGCGGGGCAGGGTTCTGGCCTTTGATGCGCGCGAGATGCTATCGCATCGTCGTCGTCGTCGTCGTTCGAGAGAGGAAGAAAGGCGCACCGTCCAGCCAGGTAAGCTTGTAAAGTAATGAGATCATGGGGCCATTTATGACGTTTATTAGATTCCGTTAAGACGTCTATTATTACGGTACGTAAATAAAGAGGGAGAATTGGCGCCCCTCGCTCGCTCGCGCCGTAAGGGGCGAGCGAGCGAGCGGAATGCGGCGAAAATAATGAAATAAAGGACAATGAAGTGGCAGGTACAATGGGCCAATAGAGCGGAGGACGAGAGCGAGGACGAACAAGGCGCCAGCGGGCGGCGTGTTACGAGTCTCGTTCGCTCGTGGAAGGGGTTGCGCGACAAGGGGTACCAGAGAGAGAGAGAGAGAGAGAGAGAGGCCGCGCGCGCTTCAGGCCGGCTAAATGCAGTGGGCGTGTTCCCATTACTTTCATTATTTTCAGTCGCTGGACCGCTCGGTATCGATGCGAACGAATGCGCGTCCGCGTACGAGAGCGCAACCTCTCGATCGTTGCGAATCGCCCGAATCGGTGGTATATAATTCGAAAGGAGCGTTCGCGCGAATCGCAGTAACCGGACACCCCTACCGAGCGCGTACTCGGGAAGAGCGAGGAGGAGAGAGAGAGAGAGAGAGAGCCAGGGCGAAGCGTTAGCCTAACAAGCTGTCAAGACGTCGCCGCGTGTCAATCCGCGGCTCTCGCCGACTACCCTCGAAATAAAGCCGCCTTCATCCGTCCGTCCGCGCGGACCAGAGAGGGAGAGTTTTCAGTCGACCGCGCGTCATCGTGTTATTTAGGCAGAATTTCCGGGCTAATCGCGCGCACTCCCACTGCGAGAAATCGAGAAAACTACGGTGATAAATCGGAAGCGAGAAAAGGAGAAAGAGAGGATGTTCGCACGTGCGACGAGACACAGAAAGCGTGGCGTTACTGCCCACGTACCGTTTAACTCGATCACAGTGGCAATCTGGCCTCGTTTCAACCTCCGGTTACTACGACGCTTCCGCTAACAAATAACATTGTCGTCGACCCTGCGGGGGCGTTCTGATTCGATTTGCGCACCGTGAAAGCGCGCTCGAGGAGGAGGACGACGACGAGATAGCTGGAAAGAGAGAGAGAGGAGAAGGGGAAGCCACGGAAAAGGGATCCTGCATCGCGAGAATGCCGCGCAGTTTTTCCGTTAGTGAATTTTCAGGAAGCCGCGACCGGTCAAAACTGGTTGGCCGGAAGTTGGCCGCGGGGGCTATTTACGCAAACTTGCGGCGCAACTGCGGGGATATGAGCGAGGCCTCTCCTCTCTCGCTACTCGACGCGAGATCCCTATCTACGCGGCATGTTTAAAAATAATTGCCGCGGTAGATTCGACGATAGTCACGGAGTCGCCCTTACCTCGGCGCTTCCTGGCCTCTCGAGTGGTCCTTGTTCTACGATATAAAGGCGCCTCCCCTTCTGCGAGTCCTCGCGCCTCTTCCGGCACCGGTCGAGTAGGTCCCCTCCACCTCTTTTCATCCACTCTATCACGGCGTTTAAAGAAGTAAAGACTAAAGGCCTCTCAGAACGCCTCTCGAGAGGACTTGCCGCCTGGGCTCAAGATGAGCCCGCTCGAGCCGGAGCGCTCGACGAGACGGAGGGAGACTTCGGCCGCGCGCCGTAAACGAAACATCCACTCGTCAGCCGGAAGCAGAGACAGTCCGCCTTACGTTTCTTAATCGCATTCGACGCACGATCGAGTGAATATTCGCCGCGCGAGCAGCATCAATCGCTCGATCGATCTAATTGACGCGAGATGGACAGACCCAGATGGCACGATCAACTCTCCTCGAGTGTTTCCCTCGAGCCCTCTCCTTCCCTTCATTGTAATTCCTCCTTGGGAATTCATAAAAGAATACATATAAAAGTCCATATGTTTACAGCATTTATATTTATTTTTTACGTACAACTTGTATATATTATAATTGTAATCGACAAACAGAGAGTAGTCTCTCATATAACGGAAACAATTATTACTAAATGCGATTATAACTAAGGGAGCGGGAGGAGGAAGAGACGGATGGGACGAGGGAGAAGGGGGGAAGGATGGGCACGAAAACGCGCCCGGCCGTAGATAAGGCGGTGAGAGAGCCTCCTACACTCAAAAACAAGATTACTATTAGCCTTTGAATATTACAGAATTACGTCTTTGTATCGTTTTACACATCGTAGGGAACATTATTTCTCTATACGACTTATAATTGTCATTTTTTCGTGTTCTCGATCAAAAGTCCCCCCCCCCCTCCCCCTTTCTTTTTCTCCTCTAGGGACAGTTTACAGCTATTGCGCGAAACCGCAAGAATTCTCAACTTATTAAAAATACACATCGCTCCGATGTATCATTATTGCGCGTCGTATTGTGCACAGGTATAATTAGGTACCTCGTTTGTAAGGGGGCGGGCGAGGGAACAGGGCGGAGGGGTTTGTTCTTTAGGCGTTTTTTTTTTCGTCTAGATACCTTTTTCCTAGTTAGGCCATCGCTATCGCCGGAGTAAGAATAGCCAGAGAAGCGACTATTGAATCTCTAAGTGAAATTCGTCGTTAATCATTTTTTTTTTTTTAATTAAACATCGGTAAATATATGCGCTACGTGTGTGCGTGCATGCTGCTTACAGATTTTCAGGCATCGATTACGACAGCAGACACACGATCGAGCCCGCGACGCGAGGCTCGCTGACAATTTCCTCGTCGGGGAACGACACTCGCGCGATGCATCAGCTCGTCCGAAATCGACAATGGTTCACGATTAATTAATTAGTCGCTGATCGCGGCGGAAGAGACGAGAGATTTGCTCGGTTATCAAACTGATTCGATTGTGTCACGCATGCGTTGCCGAAAGAAAGAAGAAATTAATATGGTCGCGTAAACAGTAATTTCGTCGCTCGTACGATTAAATGCTTCGATTTGCAAGAGATCAAAATGCACTTTTCCGACGTGCACAGCTCCCTCTCTCTCTCTCTCTCTCTCTTTCTGGAGTATTGAATTAGGATATGTGGTTTGTTCACTCATTGAGTCTACGTGCGAGACGCAACGACACGAGAATAGCTGAAATCATAACTTTCGACCTACTATGCCGCAGTCTTGTAAAACGGTTCACGAAACCGCACTTAAAAAAAGGAATAACGTTTAACCCCGTCATGTCTTTGTGAAGAAAAAGAAGAGAATTTCTGCACGCGAAAATAACGATTCTCTCTCTCTCTCTCTCTGGCCAGGCGAGTGATTAAACTCTCGCTCTGAAAATAAATAAAACTATCGACGCAACTAAATCTTATTCGGCGTACAATTTCGTCCGCGTAATTAACGACAAAATGAGACGTAGTGAGGTGGGGTGAGGTAAGGTGAGGTGAAGTGAGGTGAGGTAGCTAAACAGAGAACTACCGCTTAGTCCGTAATAGTGGAAACTTATGTTAATACGCGAGGCCAACGGCGCGCTACGCTCTAAACGCTTATTTCTCAAGACCGCTTTGTTCAGATAGTAATCTTGATTTCAAGCAAACTTTCATCACCGATAAGCGCATTGTTATAAAAAGTAATATGTTACATATGTAAACTAATTGAAAGAATCAGCGTGTCCCTCCAAAAGATCATCTATATCCGTCATCATTAAGCGGTTTAAAACGAGATGCGTTGACGTTGACGCGCGATTAAGACGCTGTGGGACTTGATAATTCGTTGGAACTTTCCCATGTTCAATGATCAATTAGGTCAAGATTCAAGAGTATGCATCAGAGTATATTTGAACGCGCGATTGTAAAGAGTTTGGATATGATGCGATTATTGATGTAACATTAGAAATGTAAAGTCAGAAGATACATATGCTGCTGAATGGAACGAAGAAACACAGGAAGCAAGTACAGAAGTATATATTTTGCGAAACAAATGGCTTCGAGATACCTTCGTAGAAGAAATTCGTATCGCATATGAGGAAGTAATTTCATAAACGGCAACTGAATTTGCCTAATAAAGAAAAACGTATAAATATATCGAACGAGATAACGAACCGTCACTTCGTATGCCTATATGAAAATAAAATATATCAACTTTTCAAATATCTTACAACTTAATTTTCTCATGCGAATCTCAATCGTTTCGCAGGCTTCCACAACTCTGGTACATTCAAAGCATTTCAATTGCTCTTCATTCACTAGCAGTAACAGTACAAATAATTTGAATGAATATAAAAATCAAAGAATAATATTAATATATAATAATAATAGTAATAATTACAAAATTTGTTATTAAAGCTTATAACAGTAATAAAAATGAATATCTTTTTCTCAAGTCACTAATAAATTAATAACGAGCTTTATAAACGTTCATACAATTCAAGCTAGTTAATGATGGCGATAGGCGAGACGAAGATGAGTCATGGACCGAATAACTTGTTCCACCATCCTCGTCGAAATCCACTTTCACATATCATTTGCAAATCGATTTGCGGTGGCACCGATGAGACTCAAGTGAAAGCAGCTTAGTGGATCGAGTAGAAGCGTTTGATGGAAAATTATATAAATAGTGCGTTATCGAATGCTGCAGCACCCGATGCATTCGTGAGTAGTACAAATAAGCCGGTAAGTTAGAGCGCATCTGCGACATAATGTGCAAATTTTCAATAAAAATATACGAAGCACACACACTCGCTTACCAAACACCGTTCGAACACCGCTTTTGTCTCAGTGCAGTTTGGAACGAAGTCGATGGCCGAATGAGAAAGAGATTGTTTACGATTAATTTCCAGAGATTCTTTCGCGTCGGGCCATCAGCTGCGTTCCGAATCGGAAAAAAAAAGAATGTGTTCAAACCGTGTTGAAACCGAGTATATATATATCATATGATTTAACGTGACGAATTCTCTTTTGCTCGCACTCGGATACACACACACGCACACGTATCCATACGATGCTCCGTTCTATCTGGTCGCTACTTTCGCTACTTTCAAAACGAGAGGAGACAACGTTGCTTTCGAGAAAAAAAATTGCGAAGGAATTTGGTCGGTCGATTAAATTCGACAACTCTCTATATATGTAATAATTAGCATTCTTCCTCTCTCTCTCTCTCTCTGTCTGTCTGTCTCTAAAACGGACACTAGACGCTAGTCATCACCGAGATTACGCATCAACTCTGCTGCGGCTCTTATTTATACTACTACTGTATCGAGATTAAACTTAAGAGGAGGAGCGGACTCGATCAATGAAGAGATGGTCTCGAAGCTCTCTGTTTCAACCTGTTCAACAACGCCTGCTCGCCCTCGTCCTCCGACTTGGATGAAATTCCGCGAAAGCTTTCCGATCGATACTTGTCCCTCAAGAACGTCCTCCTCTCCTCTTTGTACTTTTCGATTCTCTCTCTACACTGCGGGTCCCCCAAGTCCAGGCCGCCGAGATTCCTCAGCTGGATCTTCTCGGTGGCGTTCGAGCATGCGCCGGAACCGCTGCCGACGTTGGGCGTGGAGCAGTGCTGGCCGTCCTCGGAAGACGCCTGCTTCACCGACAACGCGATCTCACCCGTCATACGATTGAACTTGGCCTCGTCCAAGGACCGGCTGAGCGCGGCGCGGGTCGCCCTCGCGTGGCGCGCGCGCAAACAAGGCGGTAAGTGCTGCGACGGCTCCTCGGACTTGCCCCTCGCGCAGTCCAGCTCCTGCCTCATCTTCCTTTCCCGTACGATCTCGCGGCCGATCTCCGAGTCGAAGCTCCTCCGATCGCGGCTCGTCTCGTTCTCGTATCTGCGCCTGCTGCTGGCGGACGACAGATCCGCCACGGCGCCGCCGGATAATCTCTGCAGTGCCAACTCCTGCAGGATGGTCGCGGTGTCCCGCAGAACGATCGCTTCGTCGTCGGCGCTCGGCGACGAGGCGTTCGAGAACGCGGTGTCTATCGTCCGCTCCATCGTCTCGGACGCTCCTCCCTCCGGCACGTGGGCGACCTCGCAGGGCTCGGCCGCGTTCTCCGACGGGATTCTCACCTCGACGTTGCTCGCCTGAGACTTGGCCTGCGAGTTGACGCACTTGTGGCCGTCGGTGTCGCTGCGCTTGGAAGGGGTGCGTTGCGAATCAGTATGCGCTTTCTGCGAATTCTTGTATCCGAAGCTTTGGCACTTTTCCGACAGGCCGTTCGAACAACGCTCGTTGTTGTCGCGGTCGTCCCGTGTTGCACGGTTCGTCTCCTGCTCCTCCTCGGTCTTGCCGGACAATCTCGAGTGGCTCAGTCGCCGTACGTCACGCGACAGGCGACGATAGTTCTCGGTGAAGGTGTCGAACACCTCCTCCTTCTCGCACGCCTCGTTCTGATTTCTGCCGAACACGTTCGCGTTGTCCGCCTCGGCGTAGCAAGCGCGAATCCGCTGCTCCCTCGTGAGATTGCTCGTCTCTTGGCTCGAGTCGATGTCCGCGGTAGTCGTGTCGCACGAGTACCGATTGCCGTTCTCGAGATCGCGCGACTCGAGGTCGTCAGCCTCGAAACGCGCCTCCCGATTCTCGTGTTCGCGACTCGCGGGCTCCTTCGCGCCCGTTACGATCATCTCGAGGATCATCTCTTCGCTTTCCGCGCGATTCTCCGTCGAGTCGCGGAACGCGTCCGCGGAGACGTTGTCCGACGTCGGTCGTAGCTGCTCCATGTCCAGAGCTGGATTCACGCCGCCCTCCAGGAAGGAATCGCTGGGACTTGTCGGCTCGCTGATCGTCAACGAGCCGGTCGTTCTTCCGATGATCACCCAGTCTCCGGATTCATTCGCATTGCTCATTACGCGCCGAGTTTCCGTATTGGTGAACACCTTGTCGGTGCTATCACAAATCACAAAGCCGGACTCTCGCAGCTCGCGCAGAGTCTGCTCGCACGACATCGGGGAATCGAGATCGGTCGCGTTCGGCAACAATCTCGACGAATCGGCAACCTCTCGTCCCACCGTGCTAAGGTTATTCTGCGAATCGGTGGACCGTTCCTTCACGCCGCTCGCGGCTTCCTCCTCGTACGGCTTGGACGAGATCTCCGTCGTGGAATGCGAGCTCAATCTGTCCGTCTGTGCGTCTTTGCGCGTCTCCGTTGCGGTGGACAATCCGTTGTCGCACGGCACCATCTCCGCGTCGCTAAATTGCCCGCCGGTCTGATTCTTGGCGTCCGTGAGCGAGCTGGCGATCGCGCGCTTCCTGTCGTGCAGCGACTCCACGCGCCCGTCGTAAGTAGCGATCCCCTCGCAGGACTCGATTCCTCTGTCCCGTTTCTCTAAATTGATGGATAATCCATGGCTAGCGGGGTCCGGTGACTTCTCAGATGACGCACTCGTCGTCTCCGTCAACTTGTTCGCGCTGTTGCTGCGCTCCTCGTCGATTTCGAGCGGCAGAGTGAAACTTCGGAAGCTTATTCTAGGACTGTTGGCCGGTACCGGCGAAGGGGAATGAGACGTGGCTTGTAATGTTGCGGGCGTAAGCGGAGTGGAAGCTTCTGACAATAACGGCAGATAACCTGGCGTTGGTAACGGGGATGGCGTGTCGATGCTGTGAATGTCCGCGCTTGTCGCCACCATAACCTGAAAGATTCAGCGGGAATTTAGATACAGCGGATACACAGTACTCGGAGGAATTTGCTCGCGCTTTCCGGAGGGTTATACCGTTATAATTACAACGATACAAGAGCTTTTCGGTAGACTTGACAGGTTTTGTGAATTTTACGGTGCTGAAGTTACGCGCTTGGCTCGGCGGGGGCGAGCGGGGCAAGAGGCAAGGGGAAGAGAGTAGACAGTGGAAAACTCGTAAGTGAGCATCACCTGATCTGGACTTTGGCTGTCTATGAAACGCAGCTCGACGTCGCACTGCAGTCTTTCCTCTAAGCGAGATCGCTTCCTCTTGGAGCCGCCGGTAACGGCGGCGCACTGACTCCCGTCGGTCCTCTGCCGGCGCGGCGACGCTTCCACCGACGCCACTCCGCCGCTCTCCTCCTCCGAGAACATCCTCATCTCCCGCTCCTCCAAGTCGAAGTTGAGCTGTATCTCCGAGAGATCGAGGGGCGACGGCGCGCTGGGGGCGTCCGCCAGGTGATCGAAGTACGAGTCGTGCGAGACAGATCGGCTGTGGCCGCAGGTCCTCGCGGGCGGCGGCCCCAAGAGCGGACCCAAGCTGTCCTCGCCGTCCAAACTGTCGGCGCTCTTGACGGGTCTCAGCCGTCGCAGGGAGTTCAAGGAGCTCGGGACTGTTTCCGCCTGCGGCGGCGTGCCGCCGATCTGCCTAGTCTTGCCCATGGCGCCCAGAGCGCCCCTGCCGAACAACGCTCGCCAGTTGAGCGAGGGTGAACGTTTCGAGCCGTTCCTCTTGCGCGGCAGCTCGATGACCGTGTGATATCGCAGCGGCAATCCGGCCGGGCCCGCCCCCACCTCTATGTAATCGGGCTCACCCCGAAAGCTCCTGTTGCGCGCCTCCTCCAAGGTGAGTAATCGCGCGGACGTGGTGATCGCCAGTGACTTCGGCCTACCGACCGGACCGTCCCCGAATATGAGCTCGGCGTAGCAGACTAGAAATTCCGTCACGACCGCCTGCACCCCGACACCCTGAAGCGCCGCTACACCGCCCACTTCCAATTCCTTGCATCTCAGGAGGTTAGGTGCCCAGACAATGGCCACGTTGCGCGGAGTCATACCTGTTTCCGTGCCGCGTGCAGCTACCCTCACCAGATGACGCATCAGATATTCGAGTGTCCTGCGAGAGAGAGAGGATCACACCTGATTGCCGGCGGGGCAACACGAGCCGAGGGAAAAACGACGGTCCTACCTGTAATGAGGTGGCGGTAACTTTCTAACTGCGTCTCTCATACGTCGCAATCTCTCGGCATCGGTGCCGGCTTGAACCGCGCTGACGAAGGTCGAGTAAAGCTGGTACGTGCACAGCGGATTCGGCAGCTCCCTGAAGTACATCTTCAACAGTGACGCCACCGAGTGTATGTCCTGCAGTATGCTCTCGTCGGAATGCAACGCCGGGACCCGGTCCTCGTCGAAGGCGTTCCGCAATTTCTGAATGTTGGACGTCACGCCGCTAAGGCGGTATATACCGTCGACTAGACCATGCTTCTCTATGAATTCCGCGCAGCACGTCAGAACGGTCGGCACTGCAAAACGACGAGCGACCTCTTTCTCTCTCCTTTCTCTCTTTCTAAACAAAAATCTCGCCAACGTCTCTATTCATGGATCAACGAACAAGGGGATACTACAAAGAGGCGATAAGATTTACCATCTTGACCGGAATTGAGCAGATGTTCTCCCAAATCGCAGCCAAACACGCGCTCTCGCAGTATGCCCGATTGCTTCAACCTCCTCCTGGAGGGCCGATTCAGTATGAAGGATCTGAAGAATGCGATCAGCTTGCCGTGCTTTCGCAGCACGGGCTTCACCGGTAATCGCGACCTGACCGTCGTCGAGACGGTCAGATGACGCGGTACCTTGTCGCCGATCACGGCGACGCACTCGGCCGGAAAGAATCCAACCGCGAAGCCGTGCTTTCCGCGCCACCACGTGCTCTCCCCCGGCGGGGGCATGTCTATGACGGATATCATGTCGCCTACCTGCGTTTGACAAATTATTTCGCGCGTTTAGCACCCGCCCACTCGCTCGACGAGCAACGAGAAAGGATTACCTGGAAGGAAATCTCATCCGGCGCTTGAGCGGTGTAAGGTCTTACGGCGTACGCCGCGGCCACGGCTGGAGTGTTAATAGGACAGGAGTCCGATTCCGGGACGAGGATCCTTCTGCCGCGATTGTCGAGCTGCAGCCAATTCAACACCGGGCCGCAGTTGAGGCCCTCGTGATTCAACTGCGAGAATCGGCCCAGGTAGTCCTTCAGTATATCACAGGCATTTTTTGGCCGTACATCTGGAAGCTTCGTTAGGGAGGAGAATTTTCTATCGAATATGCACCGATGCAGTTGCTTGTCGAACATGACGAAATTGTCGTAGGATCTCTGCAGCGTCCAACACGCGTCCCCGGACGTGATTCTAACGGCGTAACTGTCCGAGTCGTTGGAACCGTCGTTGACGGATACCTGACGTACAGAGAGAGAGACAAGCCGGTCAACCGCCTCCATCGCATACCTCTCTCGCATACCTCTTTTCACGTCGACGACGTACCTCCAGAGTACCGAGCTCGACGTGCTCGTAGTGAAAATGGGCGCACTCGTCGAGCTTCGGGAAGCGCGCGATGCTGCTCATGTTGCTGCCGGAACTGACGGGCGTGCTGAAATCGTCCGCTCGACTACACCCCAGGCCCTGCAAGTTTGTTCAACAAGATAAGCGTTGGCAAGGGCAGGCGTCAGAATTAATCCGCTGAATTGCAACTTCAAAGTTACTACAGAATTAACTTGTCGGGTGACTTGGACGATGAAGCGCGCGATTCGGAAACGGTTGGAAGATCCGCGCGACACGGAGGAACGTCCACCGAAAATTTCACATCTTTTTCTGTTCTAAAAGCGTGAACGGATATGGCATTCTACACGGAAGGAAAGATTCGGCTCGTACAATTAATTTTCTGCCACCCGGAAGCAAGATAAAAACCCGATTGGGAACAGAAAGATTTCGGTAAGAGGTTTCTCATCAATCGATGGTTCTTGGCCGAATTATCTCAACTTGGTTTTCAAACAGCCGATTGCTCAGACTCGGAATTCGTTTCCGACCGCATCAGAATTACATATCGTTTCTCGTCATCGTATTTTCGTTCCGGTCGCTACTCAGTCACACGAGCCGAAATTCCTTGATCCATTGAAGAATCAAGTGTGATAACACATATCGCGCCGATGAGGCGCATTGAATCCACGTCGCGTACGAATTCACAGTAGCCGGGGTAAAATTGGGTCACCGCCGTTTAGCTTACCGCATACGATCGGTCTCGTCTGCACGCCTTCCGAAGCATCGACTGCGCGTCGCTCGCCCCGAAAATGCCGTACGGGAAGAAAAACAACTCGGTTGGTAAAATTTCCGCTGCCCGGGACAAAAGCTCGGTGATTATGAGAAGACAAGACTCTCTCTGTCAGAGGTTCAGCCGATTGCTCTCAACAAAGAGTTTCGGTGCAGCTGAATACGTTCGTATGAATGTTTTCGGTGTGGCGCGATAACAGAGTTAATATTACCTCTTCTTGTCACTGAGAGTTTTCATTTCTCGTCATTGTGCGTCCTCCCTATTCAGCTTGCAGTTGCACCGAGTCTCTTTCTTTTCCGTGTGTCACAAATTCGAAGACATACACACACACACACACACACACACCGTACTTATCTACACTGTACTTTGAAGTTACACGTCATTGCATCTACAAAATTACATGCTCTGTTCTACACGGAAACTGTCTAACCTTCGCCGTCTGCGGCTCGATGTCGGTGAGTCGATGAGCACGGGGTCTCTCTTGCGTCGACGGTCCGGGCATCTTTTGCAGCCTCTCCGTGGATGAGGAAGAGGAGGACGAGGATCCGGGCCTTTGACCCGATTTGTCGCGCGCCAGGGTGACGGCAAATCTTTACTTCCCTCTCGATCGAATCATCGTTCCGCTCTCGCACCGTTTCTCTACACAGACATTATCCTGCGTTATCTTTCGTTCGCTGGGCGCACTGGACCAAAAAGATATCACGAGAAAGAGAGAGAGATCGAAGACGCCGGTGTAAAAAAAAAATCGTTCTATTCGCGTTTCTCGACGAATGATCTCTTTTCGTCTCATTATTTATTATTAACCGTAGATATTCTGAAGATGGCGAATCTCCTCGTCGCAGGTAACGGCCGAAATTTGTTGTTTGCGCGCACCGATGAAAACTATGGCGAAGACAATTAATGAGATAATAACACTACTCGGCTGCTCGAATTGAGAATCGTCCGTCGAGTCTACGGCAGGTACATCCGCGCGATTCTCGTCGCAGAGAACATCTGTTTTTCACGAACGACAGAGGGAAGATCCGGTTGCGGGTTGCCCTTTTTTCTCATCGGTTTACCATACGTGCTGCGCGTGTTCGTTCTGTCGCGCGACGACGACGACGGTACTCCGACACAGACGAAAATAAAAATGAAACGCAATTGCGAATAAAAAGTCCCAACTGTAATCTCCCTCCAGAATTGTTCGCTCGACTGTGACGTGCGAATAATTCGCGGGGAAAACAAAATATCTCCGTTATTTCAAGTATGTATAAAATATATTTTAATTCTCGGCGCGCGCGTCGCGTGTGTGTTGCGAATAACAGTAGCGACGAAAGAGACGAGTCTTCGCGATTCGTCTCAATTGTCGACTAACACGGAAGAGCGAAGTTCGAGGGAAGCGGTTTTCGGCGGTGCGGAGATATTTTAGGATATTTAAACGTGATTATCGGTCGATTCCCTTCGTACGAAAGCGGAGCGATCAATCAAAAAGGAACGAGCAGCGGTTGTCGCGCACTCTCGAGGTACAGGCGAGTCTATTGTGCTCTGCCGTCTCTCTGTGTGCGCGGAAGTGCCAATAACCCGTAGCACGGTTAGTGGCTTTTAATATCTTAAGATTAAGGCGAATCTCGATCACGTCGTCGAAAAGTCGTCGTCGGCCATATGCCTGGAATTACGAGCTGGCTCGATGACTCGATACGCGAAACCGCAGTGTAGTAAAGTAGCGGATTCGTGTGCGCGCGGCTCCTCTTTCTCTCTCTTTCTCTCTCGGTACAACGCGTATATTTACATCACGAAAGCAACGTACGACGCGGGGGGTGATATCGAACCTTTGCGCACCGGCAAAGCTGCGAACAGCTGGGCTTCCGCAACTCTCCCCTCTCTCTCTCGCTCGCTCAAACTCGCTCACACACCTCCCTCTCTCTCTTTTTCGCTCGCTCGCTCGCTACTGTGTGGACTAAATCTCGGCACGGGGGAAATAACGGAGCTATTATGTCACGAGTGGTCTCTCTCTCTCTCCCAGCCGCACGCCCAACTCCTCCTCGTCGCGCACGCTCGGACGAGGGTAAAACTCGGGGAAAAGGATGGGTCGGCGGCGGCGCGACGCCACATTACAAACAGGGCCACGCACTCGCAATGACGAGGAGGAGTGCGTAGCACTCCATTTTAGAACGGTCGATCTCCACGTCGTGGAGATCGATGGTAATGAGACGGTTTACTCACTCGTGCAGCCGTCCTCTTCGTCGTCTCGCCGCCGTCACTCCCGAGAACCGCCACTAGTATCTCGGGCCGAGATTTCACCGTAGCAAAGAAAAACACACGATCGGCCGAGCCATGTTTGTCTCCATTTGCCCTCGCGCGTGTGGAGGTTACCGAACGACCGCGAACGACGCGACGTGACGTTGAGAAGGCGTCGTTCATACGCGACACGGTGACTCGCAAACGAGCGGGGGGAGGGCCGCGCGGCGATGCGATCGATTCGACTTCGCGTTCCGCATCACGCCGCGGCGATACCGCGAGCACTACCGCGCGAACACAACACCGCGAGCGGCAGCCGCGAAGTTACGCTCGATCGACTGTCCGCGATCACGATCAAAGACGCTCCTTTCGATGCGCCACCCACCACCCGATCTAACCTAACCCAACCTCCTCAGCTATCTACCTACTTCAACCTCAGTCCCAGCCTAACCTAAGCTAACCTCGCGCGATCCGAGTTTGTTCCTTTTAACTATACCGCAGTCGAGGTGAGACACACGAAGGCGGCACCAAATCTCACAAATGATGGAGTTACAGTGGTACTGGAGCGCGTCCTGCCGCTGGGAAAATTATCCGAGAATAGGTAGGAGCTTATTCCGATGCTATGATCCATTCTCTACTTGTTGAGTGAATGTCGTTTGTAAATTATGGTATTGGGAACAAGCCTGTATTATTATTATTATCAGTAATGGCTCCCAGACGCCATCTAACGGCGCAGTGGGAAAACTAGTTACTGACTTCTCTAAGCGCAAATTTTGAAAATGGTAAGTTGATTTTAGAACACGCCGGTGTATCCAATTACAGATTATTGTTTAAATTCCTGATTCACTATTTCCTCACTTGTATCATGTTTGTTCTCGTCTGTTATTCTACTAACGCGTAATGCTGTTGAACACCGTAAAGTTTGGTAGATATTTTTTTCTCTACAATCGTGAAACTTGTCCCAAATTTGATATGCATATAATAAAAAGGAATAAATGGTCATCTCGAAAGTTTTTAAATATATTTATTAAAATATATCGGGAAACTCACCAAAAATAGAATTAATTGGTTTAAGGTGAACTCTGCTTATAATACACGATTGCTCATTTACATATATCAATTGTTAAATTAAATATACATATATATGATTATTATCATATTCCTTGATAGTTTATGGATCTGAAATTCGAAAAATATATTTTTTATCAATTTTCAATTTTAATTATTAAATGCCCGTAAGCGTAGCAAGTGAATGTTAGAGCAGTAGCAGTAGGTAAATAATTCCTTGTACAAATATCAATAATGCTGCAAAAGGTAACTTTATTGACTATAAGGAAACAAAGCCATGCACGATTACATCAATGTGAAAATATTATCGTCAAAGCATAAAATACTAGCATTAAGCAAAGTTACGTACATACGAAAGCTGTTTTTAAGCGCAAAGCGTCACAACAATAGTAATGTTTACTTAAATTTACCCAAATAATAACTCTTCAAGTATTGTTCCGCGTGAAGTATTTCCTCGCACGGATATTTTTCAACTTCCTTGTACAATATATCGAGAACAGCCTTCACCGCGTCGATATCGTACATATTCAAGAGCAGTCTCTCCCTAAAGGGTCTCAATCTTTCCACGAGTTGCTTATTCTTGGAAATAGATCCGATATGTCCCCGTAAAACCTCATTGTACGTCGGCCAGTCATTCTCGCAGGCCGGGCAATCGCAGTCGAAGAAGTAATCCTGCAATATCTTTTGCTTCCTCTCAAATCTAGGCATATGTGCGTACACGCCGCCATAGCTGGTGAATATCTGATCCTCGGGACGTATCGGCGTCAATGCACGTGTGATCATTGTGAGTCCCTCGAAATGTCGGAAGGTATTCGGCGCGCAGGAGTGGTTATATAAGCTGTGAGCTACGTACAAACCTGAGCCCGACACGATTCCTGGTTCTTGTTGCACCTGCACGAAATTGGTGCGTACAAAAGACGTATTTGCGTGTTCCATCCCGCGGCATATGTCAGAGTAGGAATGTAAGAATATTCACTCACTGAGAAGCAATTAGAAGACATTATTACGCAGGCACGAAACATTATGCTGGCGCAGAATTTAAGCTCGGAGAATTCGCTGATGTCCTTCAAATCGTCCATCTCGTATTTCCTGGGGAAGAATCTCGTCTGTGTAGCTAGAAGGATTACCGCGAGAGCCGAGATGCAAGCAAACGCGCTAATCCCGATCAGCGGTCTTGTAGTCATATTAGTCGCCAGACTCAGCGCAGATCGCGCGCTGAAACTGTCTAGTATTCCAGCATCCGTGAATCCGGCCGTCCTACTGTCTACAAAGAAAAATTGAAGAGTCGTTATCAGATCCAACTAATAGTACAATATATCGAAATTATATGCCTGGATTGGATTCAGCAATTTCCATGTCCTGTTGCAACTCTTTGATTTTGCTTCCATTCGCTGTCACTACAATCAGCAGCCGTATAATCTTGGAAGTCATTCTTATTTTATCTTTGTCGACATTCAGCAGACTGGTCAGCAGCTTTAAAATTGGACATTCCGTCTCGTGGCACGTCTCCCATGCTAACTTTCTGCATTTTTCAGAACAATATTGAGCTATGGGGCACTTTGAGCACGGTATCAAGTTGTAGCTTCTGGACAAGCAGTGGTGACAATGTGTGTAATACCTGTGGCAGGTAAGAGAAAAAATACAAACGTGTACGCAAGTTTAGATATTAGTTCAAATAAAAAGTTGAGCAAGTGCGAATTAACATCTCACCGTTCTTCGTAGATAACCTGCGCGTACGGATTCTCGATGCTGACTATATCACCGGGTTGAAACTCCCGTGTCGCCACATAATGTCTACCGTATCTTTCGGAGAAAGATACCGCGACACCGTCACTAGCGGCCGGAACTTCCTTGCTCGGGCCATACGGCAGCTTGGAGAAATCGTCGTTCTGCAAGTACCTTGGCTTCTGCGGAAGGATCTTTGCTGCGTGATAAAGGTAACTTTCGTTGGTCATCGCATCTTGTTTCTCCCGGCCGTTAATCACCCGATCTTTTTCCAGTATTGCCTCGTCCACGATGTAATCGGAGTTTCCTGCTTTCACAGCAAATTTCTCAACACCATTGTTTGGACACCGTCCATCCGTACTTTGTTGCGCATCGATATTCTCTCCCTGTAACAATTTATTTATCTCTTTTATTGCTCTGTCTCCTCTTTCTTTTAATTTCCTTCGCTTTTCTCTCGGATATCCGTGACATAAGGCTGCGTCAATATCTATCAGACACTCCTTGTACAACTGTTTCCTGTACAAAGCGGCAGATCGATTTGCATGTGCATACGCCATGAGTTCGTCGCTGTCGGCATACGCCAAGCTCAGGGTGTAACACTCGATAGCTTCCAGATCATCGCCCATTACGAAATGTTGATTACCTGATTTTTTTCATTAGAAAACAATTAAAGAAATTAAAGCAATATAACATATCAATGCCTAAAATATAGACACGTACCTTCCTCTCTATATCTAATAGAATCTTCCTCATTTTTTGTTACAGCATGTAGCGATGGCATCTGCGATCTGACCATATTTTGTAAGATATGTCCAACAAGAGCCTCGCATTCTCTTTGTAATCCATATCCAACGTGCGACTTATTCTTTTGCTTGAGGGTCAGCACGAGTTCCTTTGCTATCTCCATTTCGCGTATAAATAATTCTCTTTAAAGAGTTATCGCACTTTGATACGAATCAAAATCTTCAATGTTTCCTCTTTTTAAATCATGATTTGCCGCCTATTACTTCGAATACACAATGTACAACATAGATTACATTAATAAAATTATCCATATTCCAAATTATTTTATAAGAACTTACTCACTTATATTTTATACTTTTCTTATGCACTGAAATCTTCAATTTTTCTTTTTATATATGTGATATATTTGCATTACTATATTTAAAAAATTATATGTGTAAATACTACGTCTTCCAAATCACAAGGTGGAAACTTATCCTTAGAGAGTGACTGAGTATACCATGGTAGAAAATGTACTGAGAACATTGAAGCTGGTAGGTGAAACTAAATTTACCGCACGCGGGGATAAGAGAGAGAGACAGAAAAAGACTATGCTGCGTAGGAATCACTTAAGCATTCATTGTATGTGAGAATAATTAGCCAAACCTAAGATAAGACAACCTAAGACAAACCTACATTTTAAAATATCACCTCTGCAACCTTATATCTACTCATATCAATATTTCAATCGTAATGTAAGTATGAATATCAATGCAACAAAATTATAAATTGTTCATCTTTAAAATATGAATTTAACTATATATTAATTATACATATATGTATATATGCATACAGAACATCATTCATAGTAAATCTTCCTTATAATTACAAAATTGTATACTGTTATATGTAATTAAAATTATATTAACATGTAATGTTTTACTTATAATAATAGAACAATAACAATTCTGCAGAAATAATATGCAATATTTTATTATTGTGCAAACAGATTTCAAGTTCTACCCTTAGAAAATATAACAGAACTGAAAGTTACATGTAAAGAATGTGTTCTCAGTCATTTCTGTACTGCTAATGAGAGCAAATTGGCAGATATCCAAATTTCATTTCTATCCTATGCAATATTTAGCCCCTGTTACTTAATCTTTAGGCTCAGTT